ATATATAATTTATTATATATATCTTTATCAGCACAGTTATGTTTTTTTTAAAGCTGAGTAATGTAATTGACCATGTGGGTTTGCGCTGGTTTTCATTGTTAAAAGCTTCAGGTGTTTGGCTGACTGCAGGGTTGAGTCTCTGATTGCTGAGAGCACCCGCTGGCCAGCCCTGGTACTGCAGCCCACAAGGCAGGTGAGTCCCACCATTATTGGCAAGAACATTCCTGACATATGGAATCCTACCACAGAACACACATCTGTACATTGATCCCAAGTCCCAAAATCTGGACCACACTGTAGCGGGACACCATACTATAGATGGGTTCTCACCTAGTTGTACACAAATTAAATGCCTTCAAAGACCCTCAGACCATAAACTAGCCTGCATGACTGTCTAAACATGTATAATAAATAGCAAAGAGAAACGGAACAAGAATGAGAGAGAGGGGGTGAGCTCTTTGGTCACTCTGAGAATGGCACTGCCCTCCTCCTCCCCGTTTCAAAGACTCCTCCTCCCTGCGACCTCATTAACCAATCAGATAAGAGGATGTTCTCCTATTTTCTATTCTTCAACCCTGTCAGGTGGCCCCTACATCCATATCCTTTACCTTATTTGCCCCGGGACATTCTATATCACCACTTTGTGGGAACCAGTGACACTAATACCATGATACCCTCATCTTCTACTTCTTTGACCTCTACAAGGTGGGGAACAACCATGACAGGAACTGGACCTTCATCACTCTAACCCTCTTCTTCTGCCTCTTCTGGAAGACCTTAGGTACACTGACCACATCCAGCCTATCCAGGGCTAACTTCAATTTACTGACATTTCAGATGATGCCCACCACTCCCACCACTGGGCCATATCCACCCTCATCACCCAGAACAAGCATACATCACACAATATAGACCACACAATATAGACCACACATGACCAGGACAGCTCAGATGGAGCCCACAACTGGGCCATATCCACCCTCATCACCCAGAACAAACATAGGCCACACAATATAGACCACAGATGACCAGGGCATTTCAGATGGAGCCCAACACTACCACCACTGGGCCACATCCACCCTCATCAACAAGAACAAAACACAGACCACACAATACAGATCACACATGACCAGGGCAACTCAGATGGAGCCCAACACTTTCACCACTGGGCCATATCCACCCTCATCACCCAGAACAAACATAGACCACACATGACCAGGGCAACTCAGATGGAGCCCACCATTTCCACCACTGGGCCATATCCACCTTCATCACCCAGAACAAACATAGATCACACAATATAGCCCACATATGACCAGGGCAACTCAGATAGAGCCCAATACTACCACTACTGGGCCATATCCACCCTCATCACCCAGAACAAACATTCATCACACCTAGCCCCGGGACATTCTATATCACTACTTTGTGGGAACCAGTGACACTAATACAGTGATCAGTGCTAAAAATATACACTGTCACTGCAATAATGACACTGGCTGGGAAGGGGTTTAACAGCTAGAGCGATCGAAGGGTTAACTGTGTGCCTAACCAATGTTTTTGTGTACATTTAGGGGTTTTTACTAGGCATTGTGTTGGACACTTTCCCCCCTTCCAGTCCGGACGCTTTCCCCCCCTTCCAGTCCGGACGCTTTCCCCCCCCCTTCCAGTCCGGACGCTTTCCCCCCCCTTCCAGTCCGGACGCTTTCCCCCCCTTCCAGTCCGGACGCTTTCCCCCCCCCTTCCAGTCCGGACGCTTTCCCCCCCCTTCCAGTCCGGGGCAATTTTCAGCTTTCAGTGCTATCACACTTTTAATGACAATTGCGCGGTCATGCAACACTGTAGCCATATGAGTTTTTTTTGCATTTTTTTTGAGACAGATAAAACTTTATTTTGGTGGTATTTATTTACCGCTGGGATTTTAATTTTTTTTGCTATATAGATGAAAAGGTGGAAAGTGTCCGGACTGGAAGGGGGGGAAAGTGTCCGGACTGGAAGGGGGGGAAAGTGTCCGGACTGGAAGGGGGTGAAAGTGTCCGGACTGGAAGGGGGTGAAAGTGTCCGGACTGGAAGGGGGTGAAAGTGTCCGGACTGGAAGGGGGTGAAAGTGTCCGGACTGGAAGGGGGGGGGAAAGTGTCCGGACTGGAAGGGGGGGGAAAGTGTCCGGACTGGAAGGGGGGGGGAAAGTGTCCGGACTGGAAGTGTCCGACTGGGGGGGGGGGGAAAGTGTCCGGACTGGAAGGGGGGGGGGGGGGAAAGTGTCCGGACTGGAAGGGGGGGGGGGAAAGTGTCCGGACTGGAAGGGGGGGGGGGGAAAGTGTCCGGACTGGAAGGGGGGGGGGGAAAGTGTCCGGACTGGAAGGGGGGGGGGGGAAAGTGTCCGGACTGGAAGGGGGGGGGGAAAGTGTCCGGACTGGAAGGGGGGGGGGAAAGTGTCCGGACTGGAAGGGGGGGGGGAAAGTGTCCGGACTGGAAGGGGGGGGGAAAGTGTCCGGACTGGAAGGGGGGGGGGGGGAAAGTGTCCGGGACTGGAAGGGGGGGGGGGAAAGTGTCCGGGACTGGAAGGGGGGGGGGGGAAAGTGTCCGGACTGGAAGGGGGGGGGGAAAGTGTCCGGACTGGAAGGGGGGGGGGGGGAAAGTGTCCGGACTGGAAGGGGGGGGGGAAGCGTCGGACTGGAGGGGAAGGGGGAAGGCCTGGGGGGGGGGGAAGCGTCCGGGACTGGAAGGAAAGGGGGGGGGAAAGCGTCCGGACTGGAAGGGGGGGTGAAAGCGTCCGGACTGGAAGGGGGGGTGAAAGCGTCCGGACTGGAAGTGGTTAAATGTATTTTCCACAGATATATATTTGAAAATATATATTTTTTAAATATATTCTTCAGATTTCTTTAACAGTTTAAAAAAAAGTATTTTCGATGTATATGTTGACATATATTTGTAAATGCATTCCAAAATACACTCTGTAAAATATATTTCCCAAATCTATTGAAATATATTTTTGAAATATATTGAATACGCCCGAAATTGTAGTATCTGTCAATATATTTGGGAAGAATATATTAAGAACATATTATTTAAAAATATTTAGAATATATTTTTCTTCCACGTGGGTCATCCCTAACCCACGCATGACATTGACATTGCGGAACTGATCCGAGACAGCGGCAGAGTTTTTGGAGAAGTTTTAGTTGGCGACAAAGTTGGCCACCGAATTCCCCTCCACACCCCCCCCCCCCCCCCCCCCCCCCCCCCCCCCGTAAACATTTCAACAACTTCTTAGCCTCTTCTAAATCTCCATTTCAATCAGTCTCCAGCAGCGAGCGCTTATGCTGTGTTTTTTCCAATACGCCTCTTTTTAAAAAAAAGATGCGCCTGACGGGGAGCATGGCGAGAAACGGGCGAGCTGATGAATAAATTGTCACCGAACAAGACAATGCGGATTAAATCACATCGAACGCAATATTTAATAGTTTGATTTGTCTTCATAAAATTAGTGTGATTGCATAGAGCACCCCCACCCTCGCCCCCGGGGGGGCCGGAGTTACCGCCAAGTATCGCGTTTTATGAATAAATTACCCCGCGAAGCATCGTTTACAATTTATAAACGTGGCAGTAATGAGGCGACACAAAATTAAGGGGCCTAATAATATGTTTTTGAAAGATGCATCGATGCCAAAGATCTCTCCAGTCTCCAATTTAGAACCGAGACGTCTCAGCGTCACGCTCTGCCCTGGAAAATACCGCCCACCTCCCGAAAAGGACGCTAGGTAGCAGAGGGTGGGCGAGCGGGCGACAGTACTCAGTGGCAGCAAAGTTATGGGGCTCATAAATATTTAAAAAAAAAATTGAGATTTGCATTCGGTGATAAATACGCAGCAACGGGGTGGGAGACGAATCACCAGAATAATGAAATAACAACTAGAATACTTTCTTAGACGATCGTTGTTCCAAAAGTTATACCGTCCTGACCTCTCCCACTGGACAGCCATCGTCAGCTGACCTCCCCTGGTTCTCCAGATGTCAGGTGACCTCCCCTGGTTCTCCGAATGTCAGCTGACCTCCCCTGGTTCTCCAGATGTTAGATGACCTCCCCTGGTTCTCCAGATGTTAGATGACCTCCCCTGGTTCTCCAGATGTTAGATGACCTCCCCTGGTTCTCCAGATGTTAGATGACCTCCCCTGGTTCTCCAGATGTGTTAGATGACCTCCCCTGGTTCCCTAGATGTGTCAGATTACCTCCCCTGGTTCTCCAGATGTCAGGTGACCTCCCCTGGTTCTCCAGATGTCAGGTGACCTCCCCTGGTTCTCCAGATGTCAGGTGACCTCCCCTGGTTCTCCAGATGTCAGGTGACCTCCCCTGGTTCTCCAGATGTCAGGTGACCTCCCCCTGGTTCTCCAGATGTCAGGTGACCTCCCCTGGTTCTCCAGATGTCAGATGACGTCCCCTGGTTCTTCAGATGTCAGATGACCTCCCCTGGTTCTCCAGATGTCAGATGATCTCCTCTGGTTCTCCAGATGTCAGATGATCTCCTCTGGTTCTCCAGATGTCAGATGATCTCCTCTGGTTCTCCAGATGTCAGATGTCTTTAACCACTAGCCTACAGGGCACTTCTACCCCCTTCCTGCCTACAGGACACTTCTACCCCCTTCCTGCCTACCGGGCACTTCTACCCCCTTCCTGCCCAGGCCAATTTCCAGCTTTCAGTGCGTGTCACACTTTGAAGGACAATTGCGCGGTCATGCAACACTGTACCCATATGAAATTTTTATATAATTTTTTTGTGACAGATAGAGCTTTATTTTAGTAGTATTTAATCACCTTAGGGTTTTTAATTTTTTCTTAAACCAAAAACCAGTGAAAATTTTGAAAAAAAAAAAGTTTTTTCTTAGTTTTTGTTATAAAATTTTGTAAATAAGTGATTTTTCTCCTTCACTGATGTGCGCTAATGAGGCTGCAGTGATGGGCACTGATAGGTGGCACTGATGAAGAGTCACTGGTAGGTGGCACTGATGGACATTGACAGGCATCACTGATGGGCATTGAAGGCAGCACTCATATATGGCACTGATAGGCGGCACTGATGCACACTGATAGGCGGCACTGATAGGCGACACTGACTGGCACTGATAGGTGGCACTGACTGGCATTGATAGGTGGTACTGATTGGCAGCAATGATAGGTGGCACTGACTGGCATTGATAGGTGGCACTGACTGGCACTGATAGGTGACACTCAAAGGCAGCTCAGATGGGCACTGATATGTGGCATTGATGTGTGCTGGTAGGCACTGAAATATGTCACTGATGGGCACTGGCAGGTGGCACTGATGGACACTGACAGGTGGCACTGCTGGGGCTACACAAATCATCAGGGCACACTGATCATCAGTGCCCTGATGATCAGTGTACATGTCCCCTCCGAGGAATGCCGATCACCGGCTCTCCTCTCCTCCGTCAGTGTGACAGCTCGTGAGAAGAGAAATGCCGATAACCGGCATTTCCCTGTTTACATGTGATCACCTGTGATTGGACACGGCTGATCACATGACTGAGCCGACATCTTTGGCTCTTTCCATTGATCGGTGATCCGCTGTGTCCGAGGGACACAGCGCACCGCCGATCGCCGCGCGCTCCCGGAGCTGCGCATGCGCGGTGAGAATGGAAGGATGTCATATGACGTCCTCCCAGAACGAGAGAGCCACCTTGCACCCGTCATTGGACTATATGGCAGGCGGGCGGGAGGCGGTTAAACAGGTTTTTATCTTCTGATGTGACCTACTAGATGTCATCAACACGTTCAATTTCCATAAACAAGTTTTTATCTTGCTCTCAGCAGAATATCTTGTGACTCTGTTCCTTTGGCCTAGAGAAATGACACATCAGTCACCTCTCACGCCCCTGGCATTTGGGCAGCAATGCTTTATTGTAAAAAAAATTACCCAAGAAACAAAGGGTCCAAGGCCAACACATTTCATAGGCATTACACCCGGTTTTAGTAATTAACCCCCTGTGTTGTCTTCATACACAGGCCTGGTGATAATTGTAGCCGTAATGGTGTATTATGTATGTTTTAGGTGTTGTGGTGCTGACCAGCATTTTGAATAAGATCTCCCTGACCTCCATCACAGTGAAGGATCAGTTCATCATATCCTACGGTGGTCTCCGTGGCGCCATCTGCTTCTCGTTGGTCTTCCTTCTTCCCGACTTCCAGCAGAAAAGGCTTTTTATTGCTGCCACCACAGTGGTCATCCTCTTCACCGTCTTTGTCCAGGTATAGTCAGTATGATTACATTCGGGATTTGTTTGTAGGTCCCTTGCCTGTTGTTGTTATCACGTACCTGGTGATGGAGGCCAATGGAGAGAGGGCTTCCCTTACGGCTAAGTTCCGGACTCCCCTGAGAGTTCGACAGCGGGTGTCAGGCCCAAAGTTGCACAGGTCGCCTGTAGGAGTGCTAGTTGGTGGTCCACTCAGAAGCACAGCTGGTGCACAGAGATAGGTCTATAGACAGGAGGCGCCTGTGCGTGGATTTAGATGTTTACTGGGTAGTCGGTTCAAGCCAAGGTCAGGTACCAGGTGGGAATCAGAGCAGACGTAGTCAGATGGGTTAGCCGAGGTCATACACGGAGGAGCAAGAGAGAGAGTGTATCCGTAAGCCAGGCTGAGGTCAGATCAGGGGTAAGGCAGAGTAGACAGGTCCAGGAGCAAGCCGAGTTGGTAACAGGAAATCACGGGTCAAAGTCACAGGAAACAGGAACAGAGCACGGGGAGCTAGAGATCATCCAGCAACTTGAAGAAGTATTGAGCCTCCTTAAAAAGGCCGTCTGGCACCAAACTGAGGTTGATGTGTCCTTCTGCGGCCATGCAGAGTACTGGCAGAAATGCAAGATCTTCCAGAACTTCTGCCGTGGGCAGGACCCTGACGATTGTTCTTGTTTGCTATGGAGCTTCTGTATGGAAGGAAAGAGAGAGCCACCTATGGCCTGCAAAGATCCTTCATCTAGCTTGGTGGACTCAGAGACAGAGCTAATGATGTCACAGGTGCTGATTTGACGGCCTTGTCCTCCTTAGCTCAATCCAACAAGCTAGGCATTCAGTCCTAGTATCCTAGAAGTGTAATAGGAACGTCAAGAGGAAAATGACAGCACGAAACTGGTCATATAGTAAAAATGGATGGGTCAGTCCACCTGGATATTATATTTCAGTTAAGATGGAGTTGGGTGGGTGAGGCGCCCAATAGCTTTGTAGACTCCAGCTGAAAGTTCTCCCAGCCAGTTCCTGGCTTTGTTTGCATCCTGAATATATGGCCTGTTACATTGTTCATAATATATAGCAAAAGAAAAATTCAACAAGGAAAGGAGGCAGAAGCCTCCCATAATGACCACAATAGGTGACCTAGGAACCCACCACCACAGATATTGGGGGTTCAGAGGAACCGTTAGATCTTTTAAACTCTTCAGTGTGACCAGTAAATGGTCTTACAATTATTCCCTTGACCAAAATATCTACACGGGAATACGACAGATGTTGCTGTTCTCTTTATCCCGTCTTCCATCACAGGGCTTAAATTCATCTGGAACTTGATGGAACTCACTTTGGCCACCTCCAGCTCAGGCCTTCTGCTCCCGGCTTACCACCTTGGCTTCAGTGTTTGCAAGTGACAGCTTGTCTCCCAGTGGCTCCCACAAATTTGATCTCCTGAGTGGCTCCCACTGACAGCAGGATGGATCCAAGTGAAATGCAGATTCCCGGGGTGCAGTGCAGTCATGGATGGTAAGGGGGCATGGTAGGCTGCACCCTCTGTGATCTCCATTTTTTAACCTGGTGCCTGGATGCCGATGTACCCCCGCTGGATGATCTCCCTACAAGTGAGAGATGTGAAGCCACCTACAGTGTTTGGGGAGGTTCTAGAGCTGGCTGGGTGCTTCAGCTTCATACAGCAACAAAAGTGAGACACATGGAAGATGGTGGAGCTTTTAAGGAAGGGGAGAAGATGAGGGCAGTAGAGGGGTGTGGTGTGCAGAGGTCAGAGCTGAGGAGGGATGAAAGTGAAATGTGGATGGGAGGTTCAGAGGTTAGTGGCTGTGGAAGAGAGCTGAAATCTGCATTCTGTGTTTAATGCACTCCTGAACTCTGCACTCTGTGTGTATTACACCATTGAACTCTATACTTTGTGTGTAGCGCACCTATGGACTCTGTACGTAGCAAACCCCCTGAACTCGGCACTCTATGTATAACACACCCCTGAACTCTGCACTCTACGTATAATACACCCCTGAACTCTGCACTCTACGTATAATACACCCCTGAACTCTGCACTCTACGTATAATACACCCCTGAACTCTGCACTCTACGTATAATACACCCCTGAACTCTGCACTCTACGTATGACACACCCCTAAACTCTGCACTCTACGTATAACACACCCCTGAACTCTGCACTCTACGTATAACACACCCCTGAACTCTGCAATCGACGTATAACGCACCCCTGAACTCTGCAATCGACGTATAACGCACCCCTGAACTCTGCACTCTACGTATAACGCACCCCTGAACTCTGCACTCTACGTATAACGCACCCCTGAACTCTGCACTCTACGTATAACGCACCCCTGAACTCTGCACTCTACGTATAACGCACCCCTGAACTCTGCACTCTGCGTATAACGCACCCCTGAACTCTGCACTCTGCGTATAACGCACCCCTGAACTCTGCACTCTGCGTATAACGCACCCCTGAACTCTGCACTCTGCGTATAACGCACCCCTGAACTCTGCACTCTGCGTATAACGCACCCCTGAACTCTGCACTCTGCGTATAACGCACCCCTGAACTCTGCACTCTGCGTATAACGCACCCCTGAACTCTGCACTCTGCGTATAACGCACCCCTGAACTCTGCACTCTACGTGTATCGCACCATAGACAGTAGATATGATGATGTAAAGGCATAAGATTCTCTTTTCAAGATGTCTGACCAGTGGGGTAACTGGGGTGACTGTGGTAAGTGGGGTGTCTTTTTTGTTGCTTGGACATCTATCCAAGGTGATGGTTGGGGCAGGACACTCATGGGACATTGGCCTGTGGGTTCTGGTAGTAGACAAGTGCCTGGACGTGATATGAGGTCATGGGCTGCCATGTTGGGCAAGGGGCTTCATGACTGCCAGCACCTGACAGGGTGTACAGCCCAAGATGACACATTAGGGCTCGTCTCGTGAAAGCACCCCTTATTCCTGGAGGTTTAGGTGAGACTTCTTGAGACAAATGGTGTGTCATAGGGTCCTCTGGAGGTTCACCTGAAAGGCAAAGAGTCTGATTAACTGAATCTGTTAGGATCGCAGATGGTAGGACATTTGTGAACTGTGAAGTAAGGGCAAGCTGTCCAAGGAAAGTTCTTTTTGCAGCCTCTTGGCTGGAGCTGGCTAGAGAGGGACCAGGGTGTGGACACCCTTCAGACTGCCAAGCCTAGTGCTGTCCTTGAGTTGGGGATGAACCTGAAGTGGACCGTACGTAAGGTAGAATACACAGAACCAGTTTGGGGAAGTACCTTCTAGATCGAAACGGGGATTCGATCAAAGTATGACTTCAGCGATTTCCTGTGATTACCCGGTGAACTTGTGGTAGACCAGGCTCTCAGGGCCAACAAAACTACTTACTGCTACTTACTGTACCTACCTGGCTTTCTTGGAGCTGTCCGTGTTATACAAGTTTAGTGAAGCTGGACTGAGCATGTTGTATATATGGTTTGTGAGTCCTACACACCCAATGACTACTTCTATACCAGGAGTAGGGAACCCAGAGAGGTGCAGAGTTACCTAAACAACATGGAAGAGATCAAAGGTCACCACAGCGCAAGGCCTAATTAACATGTAAGGAAGGCGTGAAGAGTCAGGAGTATGTAATGCAGAGTGAAGGGGTCGGGAGTATGTAATGCAGAGTGAAGGGGTCGGGAGTATGTAATGCAGAGTGAAGGGGTCGGGAGTATGTAATGCAGAGTGAAGGGGTCGGGAGTATGTAATGCAGAGTGAAGGGGTCGGGAGTATGTAATGCAGAGTGAAGGGGTCGGGAGTATGTAATGCAGAGTGAAGGGGTCGGGAGTATGTAATGCAGAGTGAAGGGGTCGGGAGTATGTAATGCAGAGTGAAGGGGTCGGGAGTATGTAACACAAACTTCAAGGGACAGGAGTACGTAATGCAGAGTGAAGGGGTTAATAGTATGTAACAGAGTTCAGGGGTCAGGAGTAAGTAATGAAGAGTGAAGGGGTTAGTAGTATGTAACACAGAGTTCAGGGTTCAGGAGTAAGTAATGAAGAGTGAAGGGGTTAGTAGTATGTAACACAGAGTTCAGAGGTCGGGAGTAAGTAATGAAGAGTGAAGGGGTTAGTAGTATGTAAGAGAGAGTTCAGGGGTCAGGAGTAAGTAATACACAGTGAGGGGGTTAGTAGAATGTAACAGTTCAAGGATCTGTAGTAAGTAATGAAGAGTAACCTCACACTCTCCCCCACAAGCAAAAATAATTCCCTTAAAGGACATGCACCCCCCCAAGCAAAAGTCATTAATAGTACAAATTTCCACCATCTCCCTGTAAAATTCACCCACAAATCTCAGATGCAG